GTTTCAAATTTTGCCCTGAAATGCACTTATCTGAGGTATCTCATCTATCCATACAGTTTTAAGTACCTTTCGTATGCTGGTGATGTTTAATCTCAAATTGATTATCCATTCCAGGTCTTTCTCTTGAGCTTCAGACCCAGAAATCCAGTTGTCTACTTGTGAAGTCTCACTGTGAAACTAGATGTCTCACAGGCTTCTCGAACTAATCAGTTTTCAAAGTCTGTTTGCCCTTTCAGTGACAAGCCCCATTATGCATCCATTTTCATGGCAAAATTCTGGGAGTCATCCTTGATATCACCTTCTCCATCTGCACCCAATCATATCAAGTAAGTCCTATGCATTTTTTCTCTATTATGTATCTCAAATCCATCTAATTCTCTCCATCTCTACTGCTGCCATCATCCCGGAGCACACCATGACCTCCTAATTATTTCCCAACTTTCATTACATGCCTGGATCTCTAACCCCATCCTACACAGCAGCCAGACTAAGCTTATAAAAAAAACAAATCTGATCATATTTCCATCTCCTCCAATCGAAATCTCTTAATGGCTTTCCATTCATCTTTGGACAGGGTCCAAACTCCTTGTGGTCTGCAAGGCTTGATGTGATCTGGTCCTGAATAGTTCTCCAGTCTTTTTTACCCCAATATTTTATTGTGAAAATCCAACGGACTGCAAATTGGGAAAAAAGTACAGTAATTATCCATAGACTCACTACCTTGATTTAGTCCTTAACATTTCATACTTGCTTTATCATATGTCTATTCATTTATCCATTCCTCTATCCTAGCATTAATCTTTCTTGCTTTTGGTACATTCTAAGATGAACTGCAGACTCCAGTCCCATATTTGTCACTCTTCTCCCTGCTCCCAGCCATAGTCATCTTTCCATTCCTTGAATCAGGCTATTTTATCTCTCTGAACATTTGTACCTAATGTCCCTTCTACCTGAAATGCTTTCAGCTCTTGTTGATTGCAGATTCATCCTTTAGTTCTCAGCTTCACCTGTCTCTAAGAGGCTGTCCTTGAACTCCTAATCTAAATTAGATCCACCTTTCTACCTTATGACCCCAAGGCACCTTGTGCCTTTCCTAAGTATCACTTATCACAATTGGTTAACTATATATTTATTTGCAAGATTATTTGTCTAATACTATCTCCTCTGCTAGACTGAAAGATCCATGAGGACAGAGACCATGTCTATCCTGGAACATCCTGTATCCCTTCTGCAAAACCTTACTGTTTGTTGAAGGAATAAAAGGCTGAATGAATCCATAATTGAAAGGAGCTACTCAGAACTGTAAACTTATTCTTCCTTTAATATGTATAAACAAGATAGTTTTTAAAAAAGGCTTCTGAGGGAAGATGGAACCCACTTGTTGCCAGAATATAACCAACAAGTACATTAAGTAATAATAATAGCTATAATGAATTAAGGCTGGGCTTTGTATTAGTCATGTCCCGAGTGCTTGAGTGCTTTCTCTGTATCAAATAATTTTTCTTTGGCATGGGGTCTATTGTTAGTTCCATTTTCCAGCTAAGGAAACTGAGAACAGAGCAGTTATTTTAAAACACCCCATCTATGTAGAATATTCAGTCTGTGGCCCCATTTGAAAGTAGGAAGATTAATCTAGAAAACTCACAGACTGCTATAATGGAGATAGGGTTTTACTTGGCTCTAACAGAAGCCTAAAAATACAGCAGGAAACCCACATATAGAAAGATTTAAGAGATGAATCCTTGGTTAGAAAACCTGGAGTTTCATATCAAAAAAAGAAGAAAGAAACCAATCAAACCGTTGTGTTGACTTTATTTTTGTGGGAAATTTCAACCCACCCAAGTCCCTTCCTCATATATAACCCCATACACACACTTCAAATTATCCCTGCAAAGGATTTTATGCCAGATGGAAACACAGCTTACACACCAAGATAAAACCATTGCAATCTTTCCCATAGTAAGAGCTGATAGTTAAAGGAAAATGAAGCAGTGCAGAATTTCCTAGTGGGAGAACCTGGCCTTCAGACACTGGCTTGAGTTTGAAGACAAGGTTTTCCACTGACTGTGTGACTTTTGGCAAATTAGTAACATCTCCAGTCCTCGCTTGCATCAGTTTCCTTATTTGAAAATGGAAATAACAACATCCATTTAACAGGGTTTAGATATACTGAAATGCTATACATAAAGAGCTCAGCACAGTGTTTGGAACATAGAAGATGCTCAAAGATGTTAACCTTAAAAGAGGAGGAAGGATAGGGAAAGGTAGGGGAGGGCAGTAATTTTCATGCTCAGAATTAAAAAAAAAAGAGTCCTAGGAAATTTATTTAATAAATGCCATCATGCATTATTTTGAAAGAGGGAGAGAGAGAGAGAGAGAGAGAGAGATAGGGAGAGAGGAGAGAGAGACTGAGAGAGGGGAGCTTGGGTGAAAGTGTCCTTTAGCGTTTGCATTGCTCTTAGCTGGATGAACTTGCCTGCAGCCACCACTTACAATGCAAATTGAGTTTAGAGTCCTTCACACTAACTACACAGCAAAAATCTTTCAGCTTTAAATAGAACACTGCAATGTGGAATGATCTGAGCAAATGGAAGAAAAATTCAGAAATACACGTAAGGAGATATTTTGGAGGGAAAAAAAAAAGAACAATCTGACATAACCGAGCAGGTAGGAGGAAACTGTAGAAATATTAAAAGAAACAGAAAGGCAAGATCTATAGAAGGACCTAGAAGCTAATTTCCCACCCAGTAAGTGGATATAAGTTCATAAAGGGGAAGAAAACTTTTGGGGCAAGTTCCCAGGGAGGAGAATTTTAACAAAGATTCTTTTGATCTGGTGCTCTTTCAAGGTATGCTAACACGTCTTAAGGTATTGGAGGAACAGGGACTCTTCCCCTCTGGAAGCAAAATTGCATGAATCTTCCCTGAAACAAATAGGTCAAAACCATAGAGAACTTCTTGCTCTATCCAACTTCTGGTATTTACATCATTTAAGTTATATTTTCCTTTTATTTCTATACCTTTCTCTAAGATCAGATTTTAAAACCTGGAAGCTACTGTGAAATAAAGGTTTGTTAGTTTTGAGTGCATTTAGTATGTGTGTGTGTGTTTGAGAAAGAGAAAGAAATCTGAGAGGTTGATTCTTACATGTCGGAAAGCTCATTGCTATAAACTCATATCTAATTTTTGACTATATGAACCTAGCTTTCTATCCAGAATCAGAATTTTCAAAAATGCAATAAAAATAAGAACAAGGGTAATATCCAGGGCCCTGAAAGCAGTAAAGAATGTCATTTTTAACTGATTTCTTCACAATTGACACTCCTATACACATAGCTCCACTTTGGGCATTTTCTCAGCTTGCTAAGTTTCACTTGCCTGCATAATGTAATATACAAGAAAACACGAAGGCGGTTCTCTTTCTTTGTGGTTACAAACAGAAAGAAATATTCCCCCATAAGCCAACAGACTCAAGGCAACTTCTCTCTTGGATGACATGCTTAGATACAGAGTTAGTCATATGTTATCAGGTCACTGAGTCAGTGACAAAGCACTAAGACTGAGGGAGAACATCTTACAATCAGGTTGCCATCATGTGCAGAAAAAGAATTGGTAAGTATGGTGCTGTTTAGGGGAGGGATGGTCTGCACATCTTAAAAGCCATCTCTAAGCTCCTAGAGGCCAGAGCTTACAACCCTGCTTTATCTGTCTAGCACCATGGGCATACTAGGCTTGATGCTCTCCAAAAATGATGACAAATGGAGAATATACTTTCAATAGCACTGGGCATTCCTTCTAGCTAGAACTTCCAGAGATGCTTATAGAAGATGCCACCTTTGCCCCCAGATGTGTGTGTATCATTTTATGTCTTTCAGAGCTTGAACCCTTTTACTCCCCCCCATCACATTTCTCTAGGCGTCTTTTGATTTAAATATTAATTAAATATTACAGAAATTTTAGCATCTAAGAATAATAATTTTAAATTAACACTCCTTGAAACACTGTCCTAAGGCACTTCCACATACATCTTCTCGCATGGATATTACAATGTGGTAATGTAATACTTTGTATGAGTGGCTAAGGATAAAGGCCTACAGGTAGAAAATGAAACCAAAAATGCAAAAGTTTTGGCTTTGGGAGAAAAATGCCTCTACTCTCTATTCACACACAAAAGGCAGAATGAGATTCCACCTGCTGACTTTCCCTCCCTGCCCGCAGAGCACTAGGGCTAAATGTCAGAACAAGCTGGGAGAGGGAGAGACGACAATTTCACCTCTTGGCAAAGCTCAGCCTGCTGAACCCTCTTGCTTTCTGCTGGCTGTTGATTCAGCAGAAACTACTGCTGCAGAATTCATAATGGTGATTTTTAAAGGCCCCACCGACCGCGTTGCTCGCCCCACGTGTCAGCCTCATTCGCTGGCCGCCAGAGCACGATTTCCCCAGCCACCTTTTTATTTTTGCTAATACACTTCCAAAAGAAAAGAGGTTCTCCCGTTTGCAAAGGGCCTTTTGGGATTTTGATTGTCTGAGCAGGTAACCTGGCCGACCGGGGAGATGAATGGGCAGGAAATGAAACCATGCCCTCCCTGTAGCCACTGTGAGACACAACATCGTTTCTCTCAGGGAGGGGGGACCAAGGTCCTACTGGGCCCCTCCCTTTTTATCTCTCCCGAAGACCCCTGCAAATATCTTGGGGGAGGGGTCATCTGCCTTCCTGGGGTCATCTTTCCGGGCGAGAGCCCCGCCCTGAAAAGCCTAATCCCTGAGGGCCATTTTAACTCCCGTGGGCGCCGGGTCCACCTGCTGCTGAACGCCGGGCTCGCCTTGCGGAGCCCGGATGGATGTGGGGGGCACAGGCGGCTGCCGGGGCCAGCCGAGCCCCCGCCCCAGCCCCGGGGCCCGGAGGAGTCTCCGCCACTACGCGCCCAGCTGCCCGCGAAGCACAGTGATCCGCAACTTGCGCCCGGCCCCAGCGGCGGAATGCGGCGGGGCTGGCGTTACCTTCGGTCGCATAGCTGTGGTCGCGCAGGAAACTGTTGTTGATTTTGCGGGTATCAATGTCCTCCTCCATTGACAGCAGGCTTACTTGCGTGGGAACCAGAAGCCGGCAGACAAGTATCCATGATCCCTCCCCGCAGCCAGTCTCACAGGAGAGGGGGGCAGGGGAGCCAGTGGGACTGCACCATGGTCCGAGCCTGAGGAGGAGACGGGGAGGCGGAGAGAAAAAAAATAAAAACCCGGCAATGGAGCTGTCACCTCCTCCACTCGGGTTCTGCGAGGCTGCGGCGGCTCCTCCCGCGCGGTGCGCTCACTCCAGCTCCAATTCCCAGCGAGGATGCTGTGCTTGCCTCCGCTGCCTCCGGGTGCCAAGATGCGCTGTGCCCCGAGGGGTCTGGTCCCGCCCGCCCGCCCGGGAGGCGCTCACAAGCGGGGCTGGGGAGATGCCCAACAGGTTCCCCTCGTTGGCAGCCGCTCCAAAATGCAAAAAAGATCCCTCCTCCCCCTGGGAGAGCGGGCAGCCGCGACAAAATGGTGCCTTTCTGGACCCGAGCTGCAGTGGCGAGATGGCAGGGGCAGGATTCAGGCTTGCCTGGCCGGGATGAGGGTGCTGGTCCCACGGGAGGGCGGCTCCGACGGGCGGGTGTAGGGAAGCTGGCGGGGAGCTGGGCAGGGCGCTGCGGCCGGCGTCAGCGCACTCACCCTCACACCCACACGCGCGCACTCGCAGCTGCTGCTGCTGCTGCTGCTGCAGGAGGCTGGAGGCGGCTGGTGCATTAAAGGCGAGGCTCCTCCCAACCGCGTCAGCAGCCCCAGGACTCTTTCCCAGCAGCGGTGGTGGCCGAGGCAGAGGCTGCGGCTGCTCTTTGCTGCAGTGGGGCGCATGCAGCCGCGAACCGGCACCTGGGCAGCAAGCAGCTAGCTTGCAGGTTCACGTGGAACGCATAGACGTGCTCTTCCAACCTTCTCCCCTCTCAGGCCACTCAGCTAAGGGCCGCGTCTACGCTGACACCTTAGAGCCCCTAGCTTACCGCCTTTCTCTGGACACCTGCACTTGAGGACAGCAAAGAGAAGTAGGTTCCTTTGGATAGTCAGGAAGTCTACATCCAGGTCCCTTTTGCTCACCCTTATATGATGCATGTGGTCCCTTGGTGAAGTTAAAGGATAAGGTTTGGGGCTCCAAGCTTCAGAAAAAGAGGAGTGAGTGGAAATCACTGCTCAGAGCCTATCTTAAGCCTTCTATACTAGCAATAGAAGGGAGAGCAGGAGCCAGAACTTTGTAACTGACTCCTCCATTCCTATGAGTTAAATATCTTCTAACTGTAGGAGGCTGGTATTCAATAAAGCATTTGTGTCTGCACAGGTGGAGGAAAGCACATGGCTGAGTTATGAATGTAGTCAACAGGGTCAGGCTGAAAAAGTCCACTCTCCCTTGCCCTTTGCACTTCGTTGTGGACAAAGTACTGCAGCCCCTCTGTTAGGTTTTGCTTGTGCAGGAACACCTTCCATTTGCTCTCAGCATGGAAGATACACTGAAGCACGGGAACATAAGCATAAGAGCCCTGTGCCCAGGGAGCCACTGCTACCTGGGGGGATTTTCAGGTAACCAATTAATACAGAAAAGAGACCTGTCTTCCCACTTCAACTAGGAAAAAATATAGAATTCCACCCCCACCCATGTTTTCCCAAATTTCAAACTCAACTTTTGAAAGAAAATAGGATCATCATTATTATGAAACAACCAAAAACATTTAATGAAGCAACCCAAGTCATTAGAAAGCCAATTTGGAAAAGGCATTTCCTAGGTTTCATCTTTTAGAAGGTATTCATTTCAATGGGTATCACAGCAGAGAGAGACATCAGCAAATGTCTTGCTCAGTTAAGCTCCGCAAGTTTAGCTAGATGAGCCCAGAGGGACCTATGAGTTAATTATGTACACACAATGCTTCGACTAACACAATTTAGAAAGTATTTGAAGTTCAAAAAAATGGAAAAACAAGTCCTTAACTGATGTTGGGAATTGTCATTAGATTTCCATGCGGTATGGATACTTCTGGTACATAGAAAATGGCATCATCCCCATCTTCAGAAAGTGACTGCGTATCTCTGGGAGAAAAGAGTAGAAATGTTCCTTGACATAGTTTTTGTTTGCGTGTATGTGTCGGGAGGGAGTTCAACTTTCAATAGATTCCATTTTATTTTCATCTGGTGGTTAAGGCTTACACACTTGTTTGTTCAAAATCCACATTTGGAATTTTAGTAACAGGTGAAGACGGGTACGAGTTGATTTAATCCACTTCAGTACCAGTTGTCCTGGCTGGTTCTTCCATGGGATGAGATGCATCTATTATCAGGGTCTAACATTCAGTCCTTTTGTAGTTACACAGTCCAGCTTCTCTTGGATACTGGCATAATCTGGAGTAGGAGCTGGGGAGGGGGGTGAGTGGGGCCGGGGAAGCTAAGTTCATCTCTTAGTGAATCAACATGATGAGAAGACATTATGCCTTCAGTTGAAATGAACTTAAATTGTTTCAGGAGGCCTTGGAATAGTATTTCGGAAAATTTCTTCCTTATCTTTCTGAATCATGGGCTAGATTGGGACAGAGCTGTGTGATGAATCAGGTAGGCCCAGGCTCATTGGCCAGGCTGTGCTTGAGGAATTTTCGCTCTGTCGCCCAGGCTGGAGTGCAGTGGCACGATCTCAGCTCACTGCAACCTCCACCTCTCAGGTTCAAGCAAGTCTCCTGCCTCAGACTCCTGAGTAGCTGGGGCTACAGTTGCCCACCACTGTGCCCAGCAAATTTTTGTACTTTTACTAAAGACGAGTTTTTGCCATGTTGGCCCTGCTGGTCTCAAACTCCAAAGTGCTGGGATTACTGGCATGAGCCATGGTGCCCGGCCTCACTAGATTTTTCATATTGACTAACTGGCACTTAGTAGATCTTTAATTATATTTGTTTGAGACAAACATTTCTTAAACAAATGAATAAATTGCTGAATATCTCATTTTAATATTTAGGGTTCATACCTCTACCCTTCTTAAAATTCATACTAAAATAATCTGTTGAGATCTGGAAATTTCCTAGATTCTAAGCCGTATTCCTATTGAAATAATTGTTTCTATTTATTCCTGTATGCATATACATGATGAAAATTTACTGAGCACTTACCATATGCAAAGAATTGTTCTGGCCGGGCCTGGCGACTCATGCCTGTAATCCCAGCACTTTGGGAGGCTGAGGCGGGTGGATCACGAGCTCAGGAGATTGAAATCAACCTGGCTAACATGGTGAAACTCCATCTTTACTAAAAATACAAAAAATTAGCCCGGCGTGGTGGCACATGCCTGTAGTCCCAGCTACTCAGGAGGCTGATGCAGGAGAATTGCTTGAACCTGGGAGACAGGGGTTGCAGTGAGCTGGGATCGGGTCACTGCACTCCAGCCTGGGGGACAGAGCGAGACTCCATCTCAAAAAAAAAAAATTGTTATAGGTGCCAAGGA